AACCAAGTCCAGTTGATTTTTTGGAACTTTTATGGAATGACTATGACCTGGAAGACTGAGAATCTTTATCAGCATCGTCTCTATGTCATATGTTTGTTCTGCAATGCCACTGAACCAGGTGAGTCCAATCTGCACAGGTTAATTCCCCCTACAGATTGGACTCATCTGGTTCAGTGGCTGGGCAAAACAAACACGTGACATAGAGAGGACTTGTTGGTGCCAAATCCCCCATCTCCGTGTAATTTAGCAGGTCAACTCAGGTCTGGTGTTCCCACGGCATGTCGATCAGGGCTGAGGCGATTTAAACGTAGGTCATTCCGGGTCAGTGGGAAAGGGGTATTATTTATTAAAGTGCCTTCTACAGATTGATATTGAGCCTCTATTGAATGTATTGATTGTCCATTTCACCAGTTTTGGTAGATAGCCATGTCTTTGTACTTTTGCAGATGTGCATTTTTTTGGAGGATTCCATAGAGCAGCTTTAAACTGTCTCACAGCATTGCCCTTGACCGGTCTTGGTTTTTTGTGCTACATGATGCTGGAGTGTTCAGAGATCACCAGCTTATGTACTGAGAATAAATGACACACTGGTAGCCTCGTCAGTAGCTTCGTGACTTCTAGTGGCAGTTCCGGAGATCCTCTCCTGAGTTATTATCAGTTTTTTCAGTCAGCCCCTTTATCCCAACCTTCCATTACATCACTCTATTACATACAATCACTTTAATGGAGTGGGAAGTGCAAGTACCAGTTAAAAATAGTGATATTGTTATGAACATTATGCAACTTCCCATGCATCTAACTAAATGACACCTTAAGCCTAACCACCCTATACTCTATAGCTGAACCCAAACGCTTTGGGATTAAAACTTTATTGTACATCAAAGCTGCAAATATCTTCAAAGTACAGTGTTTTCTGCTATGGAAAATGTAAAACAGAAATATAAATATGTTCAATCAAGGTGTGTCTATTGATTCTGCTGTTGTCAAACTCAGTCCTTAGGACCCCCTGTCCAGCATGCTTTAGGGATTCCCCTGCATTTACACACCTGTCTTAAGTAAATGTGTGATTAGCAGGTCCCTGCAGCCTATGGTGGCTGCTGAGGAGGGAGTGTACTCATTTGATACATGTTTGCTGGAACAGAGACGCATCTAAAACATTCAGGAGAGCGGGTCCAAAGGACCCTGTTTGAAACCCACTGAACTTATTAGCATCACATGTGTCTACAGTATTATAATCAGTGGGTATATAAATATAGCGCTACCATTAGTCACTGCGGTTTCTTGACATAGTGTGTACCACACTCAATGTGGACCACAGAAAGCCAGGGAAAGAGTTGTCTGCACAGAGATTAGAAATAAAATTATAGACAGGAATGTTCAAAGTAAAGGCTATAATACCATCTCCAAGCAGCCTGATGTTTCCGTGGCTACAGTTAAACCTAAGTTCGATGGGACTGTAGCCAACCTCCCTAGATGTGGCCTCAGGTGGAAAATAGATTACAAATCAATGAGCCTGATAATAAGAATGGTAACAAAAGAGCCAAGAAAAACATATAAAGAGTCTAAAGGTGAACTTTATTCTTATGGAACATCAGTATCAGATCGTACTAAGTGTTGTTGTTTAAGCCAAAGTGGACTTACTGGGAGATGACCAAGAAGACCACCATCGTTGAAAACAAAATATTAGAAAGTATAACTAGAATTTGCCGAGCTACATGTTGACAAACCACAAAGTTTCTGGGAGAATGTGACACGTAATGAGGAGAAAGAAATTAAACTTTTTGCTAAAACACATCACCTCGTTGTTCTGGGGCTGCGTTGCTTCAACTGACTTAGGGTGTCTTAAATCTCTACAGAGTTCAATAAAATGTCAAAACTATCAAGCGATTATAGAGAGAAATGTGCTCCCCAGCGTCAGAAAGCTTGGTCTCAGTTACAGGTCATGGACTTGCAACAGGATAATGACCCAAAACAAACAGCTAAAAACTGCCCAGAATGGCTAAGAGGGAAAACTGGACTATTCTTAAGTGTCCTTCTATGAGCACTGACCTAAATCTTATTGAACGTCTTTGGAAGGAGCTGAAACATGACGTCTGGAAAAGGCAACCTTCAAACCTGAGATAACTGGAGCAGTTTGCTCATGAGGACCAAAATACCTTTGCACTGTCGTATGTCCGACCAAAATAGACCAGGGGTCTATCTCAGTCGAAGCTATGCAAGCAGTTGCACAAACTTGTGCGTGGTCTGACCAGCCTGAGGTATTCTCATCCAATGTTCTTCGAAAACTAGATCTCATGCAATCCATTTTTTTCTGGCAGATAAGACACTAAATCGTTTCTGGGGTGTTCAGGTCTTAAAGGAATAGTACACCCAAAACATGATTAGCCTTCATTTTCTACTCACCCCCATGCTGAACAACACTCTGGAGTACTTTTTTGATATATCAAATGCATCTGGAGATCTGGGAGGCTTCTTGCTGTCTGCTGACATTCAAATAATGGAGGTCTACGGTGCCCGAGACAGAAAGGTCCATAATAGTCCACAAAAACGTGTCAATATTCCTCCATACTGCTCGTCCAATGTATTCCAAGTGTCCTGAGTGGGTAGCATCCAGAATTTACTCGAAACGAAGTCATTTAGAATGTTTTTAGAGCATAAACAGTAGTGTATAGGATTTCCTGAAAGCGCGCGCCAGCGCGTTCAGGACGCTACGGAAGCCGGCAGACCAAACCAGATGAAAGTGCGCATTCAGCGTCTGCTCTGCTGATAATGCAAGCGTAGAAGAAGAAATGTGTTGTTTACCTGTGCAAAGAAAGAAACAACGAAAGAAAAATGTCTGAGGACTTCAGTGTTGAGGAAGAGCAGGAGTTCTTTGCCGAGCTGAATGCGCTGGTTTGGTCTGCCGCGGTTTCCATAGACTCGTGAACGCGCTTTTAGGAAATACTATACACTACTGTTTATGCTCTAAAAACATTCTAAATGACTTCGTTTCGAGTAAATTCTGGATGCTACCCACTCAGGACACTTGGAATACATTGGACGAGCAGCATGGAGGAATATTGACACGTTTTTGTGGACTTTTATGGACCTTTCTGTCTCGGGCACAATAGACCTCCATTATTTGAATGTCAGCAGACAGCAAGAAGCCTCCCAGATCTCCAGATGCATTTGAGATATCAAAAAAGTACTCCAGAGTGTTGTTCAGCATGGGGGTGAGTAGAAAATGAAGGCTAATCATGTTTTGGGTGTACTATTCCTTTAATACGGCCTTTACATCCCTACTATTATTTTTTTCCAAAGTGTTTTTAAACAAGTTCTTTTTATGCACAATAAGTGTATGCAGATGACACACCTGAATTTTCCAACTTTGGGACGATAAATAATTATTTTATAGTACACCAGATACAGAAAAAAAATCATCCCCAAACCCCCCAATTTTCTTTTTTTTTTTTTTTTGATAAAATCTAAGTCCTTTTTGAAACCGAGAATGAGGATTTTTAAAATCCGTTTCTAACAACCTTACCATGACCTGATAAAACTCAGAAAAACAGCAGGTTAATCTGAGGGCAGCACAGGCATTGTAGCGACTCAGCAATTTATCTTCTGCTTTCACCTTTACTTTTTAAAAGGAATGCAGCATTCACTGTGGCTCCTCTTTGCCAACTTACAGTTCAACACTGTACATCTTCTGCCTTTCTCTCTGCCGTTCTTTCCATTAATCTACAGTTTGGCAAAAACTTCTTTATGAATAATTGAAATAAATGACAGTGCCATCTCATCAGGAATTCACATTGAAAGTTTCACCAGAGGAGAAAAGATAAGACCACATAATAAAGAAAAGGTGAGGTGTAGAGAAGACTGAAGCAGTGATGGAGCACTCACAGAGTTCATACACACTGTTAGAGTAAAAAATAAAAAATAAATAAGAATTTTACAAACTCAAGTTTCCTGTGAGGGAGGGAGGGAGGGAGGGAGGGAGGGAGGGAGGAAGGAAGGAAGGAAGGAAGGAAGGAAGGAAGGAAGGAAGGAAGGAAGGAAGGAAGGAAGGAAGGAAGGAAGGAAGGAAGGAAGGAAGGAAGGAAGGAAGGAAGGAAGGAAGGAAGGAAGGAAGGAAGGAAGGATTGATAGGAAGCAGCAAATAAAGAAGTAGAATCCCATTTAAAAAAGGACAACAAAACAAGAAAAAGGAATGGACAGTATTACAGGATAGAATGAGAAAATGTTTAAAGAATAGGGTACACAAAGTAGGAAGAGAGGAAGACAGAAGGTAGAACGGATCAAAAACAGAGGAAGAGAAGAAGTAACGACAAAGGCAAATAAGGAAAGAGGAAACAAACAAGGATAGATTGAAGGACAACGGAGGGGAAAGAAAACATGTAATATAAAAAAAACAGCGTTAAGTAGGGAGGAGAGGATATGAATGAAGATCGGAGGGAAGGCAAGAAGGATATGAGTAAAGGTAAAAAGGAAGGAAGAAAGAGCATTCAAAAGAAGGAGACGGCAGGACTAAATGAATAAATGAAGACGAATATTTGAAAGTACCAACATTTTTCTTTCCTCTATTTTTTCATTCTAATCCAAACTTGGAAAACTAAATCAGACTTCACACTTTTCCAGACCTTCCCAGTCTGACTGGGAACCCTCTGTTTATGCATGAGGGGAAGAAGCCGAGTCCTTTGGATCCAGCTGCCCATTAGCACCAGCACAGCACTGAGGAAGGAACCCAGCTGAGAATTATGACTCAACACCAATTAGGCTCAACCTCCATAACTACTGCACATACAGTAGGAGTGTGCTCAGCTGGAACACTCCCGGTATCAGCTTAATAACTCTTAAATACCAACACTTCATGTTGTCCCATTTGCGCACCAACTCGATGTGTCTGTATGACTCATCTATTAGCGGACCATCCTACCCTATTAAATCCCATCTTGTATCTCATCATTTCTGTGTGCAGAAACATGTAGCAAACCACAAGTGTTTTGTTGCAGCCCCCTCACCTCCAGTTCCTGTTCTCTCTGCAGGGCGAACTGCTTAAACGACTTGACAATAATTCCAGCGTTGGAGCAGTCGTAAACGAAAATAGACGGGCTCCCCATCCACGTCTGCAGGTCATAGATGGACAGAGGGATGTACTGGGTGTAATTCTGGAAAATAGGAATGAGACGAGTATGAGATATAGTGCAATGCGTTACTGCTGATAAGTCACTTTTATAGATTTTTACTGTGTTCAATTATTCAATAGACCTCTGCTTGATGGAAAGTACTGATTTAAAAAAAGGGGAAAAGAGAAAACCATAATGTGTGCAGGGTTAAAAACATGCCAATGTTGGAAATACAAGCATAGTATTTTATATTGGAAATAATCATCAGCTTAATTTTCAAATAAAAAACACTTTAGACAAAGTTATCAAATAAGGCAAACAAGTTATTCAATCAGTCTGTGGTTCTGCTCAGGTGTTAGGGAAGCCCAAGCTTCTTTAGTAGCAGCCTTAAAGGAATAGTACACCCAAAACATGATTAGCCTTCATTTTCTACTCACCCCCATGCTGAACAACACTCTGGAGTACTTTTTTGATATCTCAAATGCATCTGGAGATCTGGGAGGCTTCTTGCTGTCTGCTGACATTCAAATAATGGAGGTGCCCAGCGCCCGAGGCAGAAAGGTCCATAAAAGTCCACAAAAAAGGTGTCAGTATTCCTCCATACTGCTCGTCCAATGTATTCCAAGTGTCCTGAGTGGGTAGCGTCCAGAATTTACTCGAAACGAAGTCATTTAGAATGTTTTTAGAGCATAAACAGTAGTGTATAGGATTTCCTGAAAGCGCGCGCCAGCGCGTTCAGGACGCTACGGAAGCCGGCAGACCAAACCAGATGAAAGTGCGCATTCAGCGTCTGCTCTGCCGATAATGCAAGCGTAGAAGAAGAAATGTGCTGTTTACCTGTGCAAAGAAAGAAACAACGAAAGAAAAATGTCTGAGGACTTCAGTGTTGAGGAAGAGCATGAGTTCTTTGCCGAGCTGAATGCGCACTTTCATCTGGTTTGGTCTGCCGCGGTTTCCGTAGCGTTGTGAGCTCGCAGGCGCGCGCTTTCAGGAAATCCTATACACTTCTGTTTATGCTCTAAAAACATTCTAAATGACTTCGTTTCGAGTAAATTCTGGACGCTACCCACTCAGGACACTTGGAATACATTGGACGAGCAGTATGGAGGAATATTGACACCTTTTTTGTGGACTTTTATGGACCTTTCTGCCTCGGGCGCTGGGCACCTCCATTATTTGAATGTCAGCAGACAGCAAGAAGCCTCCCAGATCTCCAGATGCATTTGAGATATCAAAAAAGTACTCCAGAGTGTTGTTCAGCATGGGGGTGAGTAGAAAATGAAGGCTAATCATGTTTTGGGTGTAATATTCCTTTAAGCTATTTTGCATAGCTTAAAGGAATAGTACACCCAAAACATGATTAGCCTTCATTTTCTACTCACCTCCATGCTGAACAACACTCTGGAGTACTTTTTTGATATCTCAAATGCATCTGGAGATCTGGGAGGCTTCTTGCTGTCTGCTGACATTCAAATAATGGAGGTCCATGGCGCCCGAGACAGAAAGGTCCATAAAAGTCCACAAAAACGTGTCAATATTCCTCCATACTGCTCGTCCAATGTAATCCAAGTGTCCTGAGTGGGTAGCATCCAGAATTTACTCGAAACGAAGTCATTTAGAATGTTTTTAGAGCATAAACAGTAGTGTATAGGATTTCCTAATAGCGCCCCCATGCGCGCTCACGATTCTACGGAAGCCGGCAGACCAAACCGGAAGGAAGTGCGCATTCAGCGTCTGGTCTGCCGATAATGCAAGCGTAGAAGAAGAAATGTGCTGTTTACCTGTGCAAAGAAAGAAACAACGAAAGAAAAATGTCTGAGGACTTCAGTGTTGAGGAAGAGCATGAGTTCTTTGCCGAGCTGAATGCGCTGGTTTGGTCTGCCGGCTTCCGTAGAATCGTGAGCGCGCATGGGGGCGCTATTAGGAAATCCTATACACTACTGTTTAGGCTCTAAAACGTTCTAAATGACTTCGTTTCGAGTAAATTCTGGATGCTACCCACTCAGGACACTTGGATTACATTGGACGAGCATTATGGAGGAATATTGACAAGTTTTTGTGGACTTTTGTGGACCTTTCTGTCTCGGGCGCCATAGACCTCCATTATTTGAATGTCAGCAGACAGCAAGAAGTCTCCCAGATCTCCAGATGCATTTGAGATATCAAAAAAGTACTCCAGAGTGTTGTTCAGCATGGAGGTGAGTAGAAAATGAAGGCTAATCATGTTTTGGGTGTACTATTCCTTTAAGTCCATAGATTTCCTATGAGGCTATGTTATGCATTTAGCTTGCCAGCCAAGCAGTGATATCATGTCCATTATAGTGTTTTGGCACCTTTGAGCCACAAGTAGGCATTGTTGGAAGAAAGATTAGATCAGAGGGAAGTTTAAAGGACTGTAGGAGCCACTGACTGATGGCTGTGCTAAAGTTGGACTTAATAAAGCATGATAGTACTACACCAGCGCATGACAAGGATCCTCAACTTACTACTGGTGCTCAACCAGCAGAATTCTTAGCATCTAAACTCACAAGTCTTTTTTTCCCTACTTAAAGCACATTGAGAACTAGCTTACTTTTAAGGGTTTTTTCTCAAAATTGACCTTTTTTTGTGTGTGTGGATGTATAATCATGTGCTTTGTACCATGTGGGGAAAGAATAAGGCCAATTTCACAAGAATTTGCTACTTTGGGACTTGCAGTTACTTGTGGGGACCAGTCGATCGGTTCCCATGAGGAAAAGTTCTCTTCTTGGGCTGGGAGTTTGGATTAGCACTAAGGTGTGAACGATCCAGAAAGGAGTAAAAATGTCTTAAATTATGTGTATTTACCCTTAATTTGAGTAGGTGTATATGTATATTTTGTTGATCCATTGGCAAAGCATCTGATAAACCTCAATTCAAGAAAAAAATGCAATTTTTTGGGGATTTTGGATTTCTATTTTTTGCAGTGTATAAATAAAAACTGAACTAGATATGTAAATAAATAGATAAAATGATCGTTAGACTTGTAAAATCATATGATTAACTACTCAGAATGAACTTATTATGAGGTTCTGAGATTCAGAATATTAAAGTGAATTTGTGTGCGTGTGGATGTATGATCATGCGTTTTGTACCATGTGGGCAAAGAATAAGGCCAATTTCACAAGAATTTGCTACTTTGGGACTTGCAGTAACTTGTGGGGACCAGACGATTGGTTCTATTGAGGAAAAGTTGTCTTCTTGGGCTGGGAGTTTGATTAGCACTAAGGTGTGGACTGAGTTTACATTAGTTTAAGGGTTGCATATATGTTGGTAATGGTTAGGCCATACAAATGAATGTAAGCCAATGGAAAGTCCCTGCAAAGATTACCGTAAATAATGTGTGTGTGTGTTTGTGTGTGGGTGTGTGTATGTGTGTGCGTGGGTGGTTTGATGATCCTTCTTCCTATCAATAGCTAATATGTTTTTTTTCCAACACATGAAGCTAAACAAGTGTGCTTGTGATATATTTCAAATGAATGTTTTGGGTTAAATTAAATAGCTTGAGATAAAGCAGATTTATAAATACATATGTGATGCGATGCCCTGTTTCATAAAACAAAAATAATAAAGGAGATATGCCTGTACTGCTTTAGTAACTTATCTGACTAAAATCCCCATGTCTCTAAATTTGAAACTTTTAAGTTAACGGGCGTCAGATTTTCAATTATGCAAAAAGAGAAAGGAGACAGGACCGTTACAAGATGTATCTTGGGGAGTTTCTTGAGAAAATAACCTAATTTTACAATAAACATTATATAATTAATTTAGATTATTTTCAATTTGAGAGTAACAGAATTCTCTTAGAGCATTTTAAATAAAAAAATAAATAAAAAAAATTCTCTTTAGTTTAGCATTTCTAGCTTGAGGATGTTTGTGTGATCATGGGGGCGTGGCAATCAATACCAATGTTCCAGAAAAAAAATAAAAAATTTCATATCCCAATACACGAGCATATGATTTATTTCTCAGACGAATCAAACTTTTAATGACTTCATATTTGCAACATTAGAAGATAAAATCATGATTCTTGATCATGTCTTTTTTTTTTTACCTTGTTAAAAACCCAGATTTCCCCATTAACGGTTGGCCGTGGCACTCCATGGCCATTGTAGTGGAAGAGGACTCTCTCCTCTTTAGCGTTGCGCCGCAGGGACGTGCAAAGTTTCTTCACTTCATCCACTGTGGGGTCCAGACTCTGTTTGTAGCGTGCCTAAGAAGGGAAAAAAATATATATGATTTTATTATGGATTTCCAGGTTTGTTTAATATAAGCTCATTATATCAGCCTTAAAACAGATACAAAACAATCAGATTGAACACAAGTGTCAAAAAACACAAGGTATCTAAAGACGGGGGGGGAAAGAAGTTGCTCAACCTAACCCAAAAGATAGTACTTGTGTTGGAATGTCTTAGTTGGGAATTAAGTTATACAGCATGCAAACTGCATGCAATTGTAAGTTCTCTGCAAAGTTTTATTCAATTCATTTTAAGGCCCTTATAATGCAGGCAATTTTACAGCATGACTCCTTTTTAGGGCTTATAAATCAATCCATCCATTTTCTGTCATGCTTATCCCAAGCGGGGTTGCGAGGCATGCTCGATTGTTAAAGTAATCATCAACTAATTTGGCAATGAAGTCGAATTACAAATTGATGTAAACTTAATAATGAACATAATTAGATCATTGCATAAATTTTTGTAGAAAACCACAATAAAAGTCAGTGAATATTTGTAAATGATTTTTTACTCTTCAACAAGTACTTGGGTTACAACCTAAGTACTTTGGAATCAATGCAAGCAAGGAAGCAAAACAAACCAAATAAACCAGAAAGTTTAGTTTTTTTCCCTCTGATATTAACAGAAATAAGGACAACTTTGACAGAAAAGATGTTTTAATCTTTGGGGATTTTAAAACAAAGTTTTTCTCTACCTGCTTGTTCTTATTTGAAAATGCTTTAAGAAACAAAACCTTGGGGGTGCAGAGATGTTACAGAATATCAGTTTATTGGAAGTCAATTAAATCAAATAATCCTTAAAAATATATATATTTTTTTTACTTTTTGTTATAATCAAAACCTCAAACTTAAAAATATAACGAATTCAGAAGAAAAGAGGCAACATAACTAAAAAAAAAAACTTTTGAAAAGGTTGAAACCAATGTGTAAATGAATTACTTTCAGTATTTGTGGTCTATTGAATTGACTCAGAACGATGTTGAATAATTATGATTCAACAGTAAATAAAAGTGCCAGGCCCAGGCCATGAGACTTGGACTTTAACAACACACATATGCTGCTTCACTGCTTCCAGCTTGTTTCCTCGGCCACCTGTTGTTTACTTCATCTCTGACTCTGCTGCTCTATGTCACAAAGCTTGAGGTCCCCATCAGCATGTGCGAATAAGCCAGAGAGGTTTTACAGCCGGAGACAGAGGATATGTGTATTGTTCTTGGTTTTATTAAATAAAGTGCTGGTGTGTGCAATGCTGAAAGTGACACAGAGGTGTCAGCAGCTAGTTATGCAACAGAAAAGCTCCTGTTCCTACAGCTCTAAATCATTTTAAAGCTCACTGAGGCCCTTCTGTTGCATAACTAACGTGACTTTTACCAAACAGCCTGTCTTCTGTTGACTTGAAGTGAATCACATTATAACACAGATTCATCCTCTAACAATCATCAAAGCCGATGTAACTCATAAAATCTGTGAGACATAAGTATTTTGTTTTACTTAGTAATCTGACTTAGAGAAAGAGGGCATAGAGAAGGTTTTAAAGCAAATCTCACCAACTCCTTTATTTTTTATTTTTTTATTCTTTGCTGTGTGATTTCGTTTTAAACATTCTGTACTTATTTCCTTTTAAAATCTTTAGGCTGAAATTCCTTCTCTGATTAAATCAATTTCTCATACATCTCTGGAGAAAATATCAACTTTTACTCATACTTAGGGGTGAAACTAAGCCAGAGCAAGTAGCACAGAGCTGCGTCCCACATCATGACCAAGCTGTACAAGGCACTCTTAAAACTGAAAAGGTAAAGATTTTCACTGTAAAATATGACGGAAAATATATTGAAGAAAAATAATATAAAATACAGCCACAACAAAGACTGTGGAGCAATTTATAACTGCTAAAGTACATTTTTATAGAGCTTTTGGTGAAGTGTCCTAAAGTAGGTTTTAGATGTGATCGCGAAGTGGGACATAATGGTAACCCTATATGTGTATTTAAGATGTTTTTTAGAGGTCGAAATGTTTGAAAGATTTACTGAGGGTGAAAATATACCATATTCTTGTTACAGTTGCCCCTAAGATTTATACAAAGCAGCTATATCAGGTTTCAACGCTGGAAAACTAAAGTAGAACAGTCCTTAAGATCTGAGTTCTGAGTGCCTTGTTCTAGGGACATTGTAGTTTATAACAGGTTGGAAACGTAGGCATTTATTGATGCCTAACTACAGTACCTACACTGCAAAAAATGATCCAGAAAAGAGTAGAAATGTTTTAAATTATGCGCATTTACCCTTAATTTGAGTAGGCGTAAATGTAAATTTCAATGTTGCATTGGCAAAGCATCTCATAAACCTTAATTCAAGAAAAAAATGCAATAATTTTAAAGAAATTGGATTTCTTCAGTGTATAAATACAAACTGAACTAGATATCTAAAAAAATAGATAAAATGACCTTTAGACTTGTAAAATCATATGATTAACTACTCAGATTGAACTTATGAGGTTCTGAGATACAGAATATTATATTTCCATCCATATCCTGTGCGTTCTGAGTTGAAGAGCCAGAGGACCTTTTCACCCTTGGTCCCATTGGACAATATACTGCGGCCAAACTGAGCAACCTCAATTGAAGAAACCCACTGTTTCCTGTGTCTGGAGGACGAAGAACGGAAGCACCATGGCCGGACTGGCAAGAAAATTAAATTTATCTATTATTGGATAAAAGCGTCTGAATTCCAACAGGCCCTGTGCTAATCTCTGTGGTATCAAGTGGTATCTGAAAGGTATAATGATATTACAGGGGGTAATGGAGGAAAGGAATCTGAAATAAAGGCTTATTTTAGACATAAAGGGGAATGTCAATTAAGAGTGAGAAATTAAAAGTAAAATAAGAACCAAATGAAAGAACAGAGGTAAACAAGTGAGAAAAGTCATATACGTTACTTTCATAAATGACATGCTTATTAAAGTGTCTAATTAATCAAAATGAGGGTTGATAAAGTGGATGCCTGGAAGAGGCACAGGATAGATTAGAAGAAGACATTTTACGTCAGTTTTTCTACATTTCATTTTTTATCAAACCCAAGAACTAATACTTGTTCACCCTGTTCGTACAGCTACATTCAACTACACTCCATCAAGCTGTAAGCTCTAAGAAAATAATATACCACAAAACCATTTAGCAGTATGAAGCCTGATCTCTATTTTATGCTACACTTCACTGCAGTTGTTTTAATCCTATTTTATATTAGAAGTGTTGCAGCCATCTTCACTCAGCTGCAAAACCGTATGCTGTTGCAAGAAGCATGCACAAATCACACAATTAAAGCAAGACATTAATTTCAAAGTCAGACCAAAACAACTGTGAGAGGGGCATAAAACAGTTCAAACCGCTTTGCTTTTTGTTTTGTTTTTGCACCCAGATATTTTGAAGTGTTTTTTCTATTGAGCACAAAGAAACTATTTTTTATTTTATTTTTTGCTAACATTGGTCCATGTAATGTGCATTCAATGTTTCTATAATGCACAACCATAAATTACCAACATTTCATAAATGGGTAATTATATGACTGTATTTAAAAATATATATAGCAAGACCTTGAAGAAACTATAGCCTGTCTTCTTATTGATTAAGTGTGGTCTGAGTTCGACTCTAAACAGGCTCCAGTATCTAGCAAAAATAGAATTAGGAGGAATTTTAGTAGAAGGCTGCAGGCACACTTCAGTATAAACACTCTCAAGGACAATAATAAGAGTGCATTTAGTCCAGAGTTCATAACAGAGAACGAAGGACAAAGTGTTACAAGGCGCAACAGTTCAAAATTGAAAAAAAAACCATTCAGCTTTTATTGTAGAATTTTTAGACAGATGCAATTCATCTGTCTAAAAGTTCTCATGCATAAAACTCTTAACTCTTATGCATAATCCCTAAACATACATCAACCCAACATTTACAAGGTCCATTATCTGTTTTAATTATGTCTTCCTTAATAAAAACCCAGTTTACAATCATTAATATCATGCACAAAGTGGTATTTCACTTGATTCATCCATGTCTGAATAGTCCTCTCTGAATAGCAGCCCATTCGTTCAAGGGGCAAAGACAGGTCTAGAGATTTAATTAACTGTGCCCTCCAGAAAGCACCTGCCTTGATCGCACCGCCATCCCTGCCCTGTAAACAACATGACAACTTTCTCAGATCAGCAGCGGTTATCTGAAGCAGACCAAGATTATTTTTGGTCAAAGCTGAGACAAAGGGGCTCTTTCAGTATCTAATGTGCTCTAATGTCTCATATAGATATTGTATCATATTTTTCTCAAAAGGTATACATCTCAAATTTGTAAGGTTTGGAATTGCAGAGCATATGTGCATCTGTTTATTATTTATTCCCCATATACACAGTTTTTATATAGTATTACCTTATTTATTTTCTTAACTGTCACTTATTCTCTTAATTTTACACAATTTTCTAGGGTCCACATTGTCCACCTTTGTCCACATTGAGCACTTTTGCTGTAACCTTTTCCGGCTGCTGTAACACAAAAATTTCACTATTGTGAGACAATAATAGGAATTTTCTATTCTTATCTATTCTATATATAGCAGGAAGCATAAACAACCAAAGAAAGATTTTAAAAAACAGAATACTTCACTCATAATAAGAGTTCAGGATGACACCTCTCTAATGACAGGGTTCCTACAGCATAAGGCAAGTTAAATTCAAGACTTTTTAAGACTTTTTAATGCCACTTGAAATAAAAATTTAGGACCAAATTCACAAGAAACACAAGAAAAGCCTGCTTACGACAACTTAACCCAAAGGTTTATTATAACATAAACCACTGCACTAATGTTTCAAATTTTGAAAAGCTTCCCATACAGGAAGAAAGCTAGAAACACACAGATGACAGATATATTTTAACAATTATTTAACTGAATTCACAAACTTTGTTTTAGCAGGGAACAAAACAAATCAGTTTTAAA